GCGTCGCGCGATGTATCCGAACAGGGCCGAAACCAGATGGGTCGTCAAGGCCACCTCCGCAAGTGTCACCCAGAACACATGATGACGTAAGCAGCTGCTCCAACAACAGACCTAGATGAGACAATTTCTTCCAGCGAGCTCTGCTCATTAAAATAAATTGACCCATTTCAACAACAACGTCGGCGTCAACGGCGGAGCATGAGCTGCGTTTTTCACGCCGCACTTCGTTCTCATAGTTTTGAAGAACGACGTGGTCGTGACGACGGCGCCACATTCGAGCTCCGACGGACGCAACGGCAACGGCAGCGAGGACTCCGGTGATGGAGGCCGCCGACGGTCCGTACGTCACCGTGTCGAGGTCGTACTTGGTGCATCGAGGTCCCGTCCAGACGCTGACGCACTGACACCGGTGCCCCACACACATCCCCGTGACACTGGCGACGGCAGTGCAGTCGTCGTTCGAGTTGCATGACGCACCGCCAGCAACGACAATATCGTGGTTGCGTGGGTCCGTGTAGTTGGTGATGTGCGCCTTGATGAACTCCTTCGTTGGGTGCGACGCCGGGTCGCACCCGTAGCTCATGGTAGTTGTGTCTTGCCTGCACCCAACAACATAAAAGATAGCTTGGGCAGTAGTGCAGTTGTCGTACCAGACACGGATGTAGTCCACTTCCATAAACATCGGGAATGCGTCGCAAATGTTCTGGGTCGCGTTGTAGTCGTATGTTCCCGGCGCTGGGTGGGTTGCGTTGCCCCGGCAGCCACCCACTTTCACGTTCGGGGGTATCGCTCCTAGAGTATTTGCATTAGCAATCAACGATGGCCGCAGCAACATGCTCCGTACCCCACGCCGCTGACATGGCTACGTTGAAGATAAAGTAGCTCGGCTCTTCAAACATAATCTTCTTGGGGTTGCGAGGCGTGCCCTGGGGCGGTGACGTGAGCGCTGACGCTGGGATTTCAAAGATCGGCGCCTTGTCGAGCATCCAACGGACGTAACCATCATCGCCCGTGACCCTAGTTGAACCCGTAACGATATTGTCATCCAAGAAAGAGACGATATGTACCACTCGAGCTGGTACTTGTAGAACGACGTGTACGCTTCGTAGCTGATGGGCCAGTTGGACGAAATGGCGTCCATTTGGTACTCGAACGGCTCCATCATCGACGTCGGCGTCTGAATCTCCAGGCGTGGCGTCTCGCACTTGGGGTTTTGGCTGTCGCGGTCACAGAGAAACTTGCCCTTGTAGCCGTTGGCAATCGGAAAGCACGTGCCGTTGTAGTTGATGCCCCAGTGCAGCGGACCCTTGCCGTCAATCAAACCGAGGTCGGCATGCAAATCGCGGCCCGAGCTGATGGTCTTGATGTCAAACTGGTTGTCCTCGATCGTGCCATTCTGCGCCGCGGCGACTGACGCCCACGCTTGTTTTTGGGTCGCGTCCGGTGCACATCGGCTGTTGGCGGCGTATCGAAGGAATTGGTACCACGACTTGTGTCCGCGGGCCGCAAACGCCGACGTCGGAATGTCGGCCATGTTGGCACCGGGCGTCAAGCAGTTCTTGTTGTAGTAGCACGCCGTGTACCCGACGCCGTGTCGGCCTATGTAGCTCACTCTGAACCAACTGTCCCACTACGTGCTTTACCTTTCGAGTCGACGTTCGTCGTTGCCTCGTACGTCATGGTTGCCTCGACGAGACGGTACTCGTCGGGCATCCCCGGCGCTAGCTGCAGCGACGACGAGATGTCGCTGCCGCCGCCTTCGAGAATGTCAATCTCGGGCGACCCGCGACCCATGTTTGGGTGCAAGCCGTAGCCGGGGTTAGGGTCGCAGGCGCTAATGCGCTGGGACGTCCGGTAACGTTCGTCGCACTCGTTGTACGACCACGGCCAGACGCGGTTGGTGGAAGCCGCAAAGAGCGCGCGGCCAAGGTTGCCCATCATCCAGAGACCCGGCCATGTCGGGTAGAACCCGATGTCGGGGATGCGGTCGAGCGGCTTGACGGGCACATCGCGCTGCAGTTGGTGGTCCCAGCGTTTTCCCATCACGTGGGGGTTCATCGACACATGGGTTGCACCGGGCATCTTGGCTGCAATCTCGACAAACCCGCCTTGGATGCAAAACTTGTTCCATGTCTGCATCATGGCCGCGCGGTAGTACTAGTCGGCATATTAGTTGCATGCACCATTGCTATATAGACAATATGTACCATCGTCTTTGTCGTCCACGACGGCGCATCCGACCACACGTTGTAGTACGTGACGTTGGTCTCGGTCGCGTCGACGCGGATCTGAAGCGTACCGTCGAGAGTGAGCGCATTCTCCGGGGTGTAGACGCCCACGGCGCGGTTGACGCCGTCGGGAATGTCAAGAGCAACCCAGAGATGGTCGTGGCCGGCGGTAAAATTGCGCCCATCCAAGTTGAACTCGTCGCTCATGATCAAGTCCCACGGATCGCCTCGAGAACTTGTCATGGTGTGAAACTCGACCGGCGTCTCAACGTCGACCCATGTCTTGACACCCGACTTGGTGGGCAGCGACGGGTCGTTTTGATCGAGCGCGAGCGCGACGAATGTTAGAAATGCAAGTCGGAAGCAGTAGCACATTGGAGTCGAAATCACAAGTGGGCATCGACAACTAACTTTGTCAGTGTATGCACGTTATGTACACAGAACCGATGAACCCATCGCACCCAAGAGTTTTTCTCTTCGCAGACAACGTGCGAAATCAATACTCATCATTACGGTGCAAAGGGATCGGATTTGAAACGCTGGCCCTCGTACACCGTCTAAAATTGCAGCCAAAGGTACTCGTTGACTTGCACAAGAGCATAACACCATTGTATGTCCTGCATCGAGTTGGAACGTCCAGTGAGATCCACAATGGTGCATGGGCATCGGCGATGCTCTCTGTAGCAACACGAACACGGCACCGAGCGGTCATTCCTAGCCGAGGGGTTGGAATGGCGCGTCGCGGTTGGATACGAGACAAGTCCGAACGGACGGCCGAAACGGTCGTCGAGCCGGTTCTGCATCTCTCCGGTTGGAATACTAACGGTTGCTACTGGTTTCGCATGGCGTCCTCATTTCCATATGTTGTTCTAGACCACAACATCGCACGACTGAGTGGGGCCTTCGTGTCGGCACGCACTCGACTGTACAAATCGCACCAAGGACCGCGATCGCAGTTTTCACCTCGTAGACCGCGTACTTGAAAGCCATACTAGTATAGTATATTTCAACCGACGAGACATTAAGGGATCCTAGAAATAGTGTGTGCATGCCAGGAAAGGCGATATTAGCCTACACGGTATCTTTCGCTGCCCTTCCAAGCTGGACGAAGCCCTCTCGGCCACCATCTTACTGTAGCGCTACGCACTGCATCTTCTTGACGTAGCCTTGGTATGAGACGACGCGCATTTGGTACACTCAGAACTGCATTACCCTAACCATGTACGGATACTAGATGGAGCCAATCGGCTGTAATTGTCGGCTGGACGGACACGACCAGCGATTCTCATCCTGCGCCGGATCCGCCAGCCATAGCATACCGGTACTAGTACGTGCCTAGGCAATTGACCGGTCTGACGTCTGACGTATCATTTATGCTTGAAGTACGCGGGCGTACCGCTGCCTTGCGTGATGATAGCAGATGTGTAGCGCAATCCAAAACCAATTTGCACACAGCACGCACGTGCCACAGCACCCACGGCTCTTCTCATGGATGCGTCTATCAAGGCTTCGTGGAACCAGACGATGTGATGCAGCTTCGGCTGCCCTCTTTTTATACCAACGTGCGGAATTGATACAGCGTCGACTACATCCTGGTCGTTTCAAAGTTGGTAGTTAAAGGGCACTACGCGAAGCTACGGCTCTGCCTCGGCGATCGTGGGAAGAGCCTCTTTCAAGGACATGTTCATAACGATAGGCTCGGGCGCCAGGTCGTCCTCGTCGTCTTTGACTGTATCGTCAAAGGCATCCCGATCGGTTTCGTCTGCGATGTCCAACATGTGCTTGGCAAGGTACCGCACGATCGATTTGGCCGTCGGTCGCTTCGTCGGATCGTAGGCCACGCAGGCGTCGACGAGCTTGCGTAGCGAGGCTGGGCACTTGGGTTGCAACGTGGGGCGGAGGCGGCCGGCGCGCACCATGCCAATAACGTCGGCTACGTTGCCTTCGCCCGCGTATGGCTCGTTGCAATTGTGCACTTCGGCGACGACGACGCCGAACGAAAAGATGTCGGCGGCCGTCGTGTACGCGCGGTCTCCGTCGGGATTCTTGTCGTAGTCGCAAAACACTTCTGGCGCCATCCAGAGCTGCGACCCGATGTTGCCGGTCATGAGCCCATCAACGGTGCACGCGGTGCCAAAGTCACCGAGCTTGACGCCGTGCGTCAATGAAAGCAGCACGTTGAGGCTCTTGACGTCGCGGTGGATGACACCTTTCGCGTGGATGTCGGCGAGCGCATTCGCAAGCACCCACGCCACTTGCATCGTCGTGAGTCTCATTGCCACGGGCTCGCCCTCGCGCTTCTTGCGGAGGTACTGGAAGAGATTGCCGTAGTCCATGAGCTCCAGCACCATCTGCGGATTCTTGGAATCGACGTCCACAGCAGCGAGGGAGGTGCAAGACGTACGGCGACCGACACCTACGCATTTTGGGGTGAGATGCAGCAACGCCCATCGTGTACTCGCGCGTGAGGTTGATTTCGTCGCGAAGGATCGCCACCTCGTGGGCAAACCGATCTTTGGACGCTTTCACGGCAACGGCCCGCGCTTGGAACGTGCCGCGCACGACCTTGCCGACTGCGCCGGTGCCGAGCACATGGTTCTCGTCCCGTTGAATATCCTTGGCCGATATTTAGGTCATTTTCCCATTGTCGTTTT